CTCAGAGAGATTCAGTGACATGCCTCATGTCATCCAACCCGTTAGTACAGAATTAATTCCACTTTACCTTGACGACCATCTATAGAGATCTTTATACATCAAATGTAAACAAAAGAAGATCAAGTTGTGGCCCTCCCCATTCAGACCTACATGTGTGGCCCCTGGGAAATCATCACCGAGAGCACTGGAGAAGCAAAGGGACATCCCAAGGCTCCATTTGCACTCTTGGCTGCAGAATTCCAGGGACCCAGCTCATCTAGTTTGGCTGCTCTTACAACAGCCTTCAGAAGCTTGGGAAGTGAGGCACTGAGTTAAAAAGACATTCCAGGTCAGCCCCCATTTGTTTGGATGACAACCTCCAGCCCAGATCCATTAAAGGTCACTGCCTGCAGGGCCAGGCCTTGCCAACAATGGATGCAAAGATCAGACCTGCCATCCAGGAGTGGACGATGATACAATCTGAATGGGAACCAAGAGGAGGGCAAAGAAAGCAAACTATGTACAAGCCTAGTGGCTTCTGTTCTCACCCAGGCCAAGGGTTCCCTCAGTCTAGCCTGCCCACAACTGAAGGCATGGGAAATAAGTACTATAAGGGAAATAGGTAGTATACCGATAGATTAAACTTTTCTAATGGCTTTGTATTTGTTATTGAAACAAATGTATGTATAAAAAAATAACTGGAAAATCACAATCATGATTTCATTTTATGTTTTTTAAGGATGAGCCTGCAGTAAATATTTGTGTAAAAAAGTGACTTCACTTAAGAATAGTAAGCAATTAATGGTGCAGGTATTATTTGAATATGGCCGAAATTCTGAATGTGATATGTAAATGACTTAAGTTTGAGAAACACTGATATACTCCATTTTTAATAATTTTTTTTTACCAGCCCTGGAAAGAAATACATTTTACAAAGACTGCCAACCCATACATACATACATTTATGCAGCTGTAACAAAGATTTTGAGACATGATATTTAACTCTATTTGTGCGATAGACTCTGGACCCTAGATTCATCTTAGACTCCCATTTCCTTTCTCTTTCCCTTTCTCTTTATGTTTAATTGCCTTGAAGTCCTTCCTGTCAGTTCTGCTTCTAAAAGCTCTTTCTTCATCCCCTTTTTCCATCTTCAGTGCGTTATTCCTGGTCAATGTCCTCATCACCTTTCACCTGGACTATATCCTAACTTATCTCCTTCCCTCCAATCCAATTTTTCTCCTTCAATCCACCCTCCACACTGCTGCCAAAAAGGTTTTTCAAAAACTCTGATCTAACCCTGTTGTACCAGCGTGCAGGATTAAAAGTCCAAGCTACTCAGTAAGGCTAATTTAAAGGCACCTGGTTGTTGGCTTCTGCTGAACTTCCAAATCACAATACTGGCAAAATCAGGACTAGAAACCCAGGTTCTTCTCGACCTATTATGCTGCCTCCTCCAAGAACCTCTCCTTGTTGTTTTCATTCCACAGGTGATACTTGCATGGGTAAGTCCTTGCCGTTCTGGCACAGGGAGTTTTAAGGAAAGCCTGTCATGAGACAGAACAACATAATGTCACAAGTAGACAAGACATGCACAAGGGTACTGTGTCCCTTGTCCATTATGAACACTGAATGTCATAGTGTAAGGCATAAAAGGAGATAGGGATAGAAGTGAATAAAAAGGAAATTGAAGTGTCTATTAGGCAATATTGAATTCATGTTGGAAACGACCAATACTACATAAGGATTATCTTGGCCATCCTCACTTTGCAGTTCTCTCACAAGAAGCAGGTGTCTCCAGTGAGCAGACAATGACTCACTGGTTAAATTCTGGTGTGGATCAGTTTAGGAGAGTAGAGTTTATCCCCCTCCCCTCCTCCCACAGGTGATGTTGGACTTGCCTTACCCAATGGAATATTAGCTGACAGGACACAAACAGAGGCTCAAACGTGTTTGTCTATTCTGACTTGGCCTCTTGAACTGACCACCCTATGCCAGGAGAGGAGCGTGCCTCAGATAGCCATTCGCCTTCCATCCTGGGTCTGGAAATGGAAATAAGAGGAGCAGACCTGTGTCAGCCTGGAGTCTAGCCTAGCTCAGCCAGCCCAGGTGAGCCCAGTTGGGATCAGACCAAGGCTGCCTTGCAGACCTATTCACAAGAAAAATAAATGTACGTTGTCCTCAGCTACTGAGATTTTGAGGTGGTTTTACAACGCAGCAAAAACCAACTAGTCCAAAAGTAAAACGGTTTTTGTTTTCATCAAATTAAAAATCAACTCTTTGTTTTCCTTTTGTGGATCAACTACAGGAAGAAAGTAATAAGGACGCGGCTGACCTTCTCCTAGCCCTCAGCACATTTCTAGGGCATCTCCCAGCATGCCGGTTGCATAATGCGAAAGCTCCGCAGCCTCATTCTCACATTAGCCTGACGAGAAAGTAAATTAGGACTGTTACACTCCTCACTCCGTCCCCCACTGAAGTCACGGTGACGCTCAAAATAAAACAGAAAATCCAGTGACCCTTTGTTTTTAGAATATCCACGCCACTGTCTCTCCTTTCAGAAACTGGGAATTGCTTTTATCAAGGGTCTCCGGCGTTGGAGATCCCATCCCCACGTAGTTCTAACCATAATTTTTTCTAGCGAGAGTTCATGATGCCCGAGTCCTTTTATAAAAGGAATGTTCCCAGGAGGAAGCCAGCAGGGTCAACGCCACAATGTCTTATGGCCTGGATTACACAGACCTCGTTTTCCTCTAGCTGAGGTCGCGGTGCAGCTTCTTTCCTATCTTTTTAGGCCCCTCTGTGTTTTCCTTCCCCTGCCCGCGTCTCTACAGCTCGCTCCCGTTTTCACCGGTTCCTTCCACCGGCTGAGGACCACTTTTCCGCAGCACGCAGCCTCCGCGCCATTGAGGACGCTGTCCTCCAGGTGGCAGTAGAGAGCTACTCCCTGCCCAGTCGCTTACGTCACCTTGTTTACCCGGCTCCGGGTCATTTTTAGATCTAAGATCACAGGATGTTAATTGGGCCAATGATTTCCCATTCATTTTGGCAAAAGGCCCTTCTTGTGGGCGTCGGGACAAGGATGATGTCCTTCTTGACAGTGAGATTTTGCTGCGGGGGGTATTTATTTGCAAAAACTTGGAATTTCATCTTTAGGAGATGGGAAAGCAGCACGTTGGTCTGTGGTATGGACTTGTTTTGGGGTCACTGTAGTTTTGGAGCCGAACGAGGGTGGCGTTAACTAGGGACAGAGGGGAGTCATCGCCAAAGCCAGCTGAGAGCCCTCAGACAGAATCTGCCTTTTTACTTCGCCTTCCTCCTTGTAAAATAACTACTCAGCAGGAAAGCATTTGGACTTTGGAACTTGGAGAAATAAGGAAAACGGCTGATTTGGTCAATTTGTGTCCTGATACATTGTGGGGAGATGCCTTGAAGCTCAGGGACTGGGAGGCTCCTATTTCAGTTGCCTTCACCCAGAAATTGGATCTGAATATCTCATTGTTATAAATCACAAGTTTCATGGGCTGGAGCTTTTCATCCTAACAGCAAGCCTCACTTATTACTCCTTATTTATTACTTCTACGCTACCCGGCTACTGGTGAGGAAAGGTGAGGCACAGGGAGCTGAATAGCCTAGCTCACTCTCTCATGTCCAAGTTCTGTGTATGTTTTGCAAAAGTAAGACCTTCAGAAGCCCTGGGATCTCTGCTCTTTCCGTACCAGCTTTGGTGGGTAGGGGATGGAAGGAGCTGGGAGTTTGTCTGTGACTGTACAAGAGGTAAAATAAATGAATAGAATTCCTTAATCCCTTACAAGAAGAGAGTAGATGCATCTTATGCTAAGGGAAAGAAAGAAAATCTATAGAGTAATGTAAAAAATAAACGGGCCTCCAAGTTTCTTAAGTACCTGTTTTCCCCAACCACCTCCTATCTCACTCATCCTTTTACACACTCCTGCTGCTGCTGCTGCTGCCACATGAAAACCAACTACCAGAGAGGGCAAAGTCCCTCTCCCTCAAGCAGTGTGCAATCCAGCAGAGTAATCACACTGGCCTGGAGAAATAGATAGTTTTCATGCAGCCAGGAAGGGAAGGAAAATTCAATTCGGTTCCATTCAACAACCATTTCTTGAGCTCCTAATCTGTGTCAACTACTCAGACAGGCTATATAGGTTATAAAGACATGAAAAAACATGGTTCCTGCCACTGTGGAACTTCAAGTCTAGTAGAGTTTATAGTCATAGGGAGTTTTTTGTTCCGATTTGAAAGCGCATAATGAAAGAAGAATTGAAAGAGACAGAACAATAGAAAGGGAGAATGCCAGGTAAATGGCTTGGAAAAACATTCCTCCGCTTTGGCGTCTACTTGAGGGTGGTGCTGGGGACAGGGCCTGGCAACAAAGGCAGAGATGCTCTGTGGAGAACAGGAGCCCCCCACTCCAGGCACTTGGAGGTTCTAAGGAGGCCGAGAGAGGGAGAAGCGGGAAGCTGCTTGCTCAGGGTCAAACAGGGCATCTAAGGTCAGGGATTTGGAGCCAGTCAACAAGAATCATGTAAACCTCCCGGTATACATCCAGGGCAAGCATTTAGATGCAGCTTCAGTTTCTCACACTTGTGAATAGGAAGAAATCTGTGACTAGGAAGACATAAGTGACCCCAGGTCCACTTATCACCAGTAAAATCACCTTTTTAAATGCCTTTTGTTAAGAATTTGGTGATGATTCAGATCCATCCTAATCACAGGGAGGCGCAAATGAAGAGAAAGCAAACAATGAAAATTTAAAATTTTTTACAGTTATATAAAAATGTTAAAAGATTTTTAAAAACTTTTTAATTGTTTATAAAACAAATACAGACAACAGCATAAAACAAATGTACAACTTAATACATTATAGGGCAAATGCCCTAGTAACCTTCTAACAATTCAGGAATGGAGACAGAATCATGTCAGGAAGAACTTTTGTTTTTAAGATTTTGTATGCATTTTAATTAATTTATTTTAATGTTTATTTTACATTGGAGTATAGTGGATTTACAATGTTGTGTTAGTTTCAGGTATACAGCAAAATGATTCAGTTATAAATATACATATATCCATTCTTTTTCAGATTCCTTTCCCATATAGGAAGCAAGAACTTTGTAAGCCACAGTAACTGCTGCAGCTTCCAAGGACCAAGTGGACGTGTCACTTGCAGGATGTTCTGAGACCTCCAAGGAAGAAAAGGGCCCTTCAATCATCAATCAAGCAATATTTATTGAGTGTATATAATAATGCCACATACCAAGTATAGGATCGCATCCCCACACATTTACCTGAAGGAGGTGAGAGAAGAAAGAAACCAGCATTTAGTGAGTGCCTACTGTATGCTAAGTGCTTTACCTATGTTACCTCTAAAAGAGATGAACTAAGCATTAACCCTCACTACAAGTCTGTGAGGCTGGTGTTATCCCCCCTTTACGGTTGAGGATACTGATGCCTGGAGAGGTGAAGTAACTTGCTCACAGTCACACGGTAAGTAACAGGCAGCTGTCACTTGAACCCACACAGCCTGGCTCCAGAGCCATTCTCTTTACCATCTCTCTACATAGTATGCTAGAAACTTCTGTTTGCCCTCTTAGGTCACTCTCCACCATTCTCCACCCTGCTCTGTGCTGTAAACCATATCAATGGTTACCCTTAGGCTTCTAGTTGGGTTTACCAGTGGGTATCTCAGGCAGGAGGGCAGAGGGAGGGGGAAGCACCTGTAGGAGGGCTGTGTCCCTTGACGCATGGTCAGAGCTCTTATCAGGTGGCTCTAAGCACACAGGGCACTCTCTCCAGGTTCTGGTGACCGCATCTCCGCTCCCCACTTCAGGCCTAGGGGTGGTCAAGTAGCTGTTACTTATTGCGCTACCTCTGTGGTTTCCCTACATCCTGCCCACACCTTTGTAAATAGCCCCTTTATTCAACACTCTCCTCAAATTACCCAATTTGAGCTGCCATCTGTTTCCTGCCCAGGTCTGGCCTGATATAAATAGGAAGTCAGGAAAGCAGCAGCTCAGAGGCCCCTGTCCCCTTGTGGGCAGCATTCCTCATAGGTATAGGACAGTTGCAGGTGAAACAAGACCTGTCATTTGAAAGGCTTCAGAATGTTTTGTGTGTGTGTGTGTGTGTGTGTGTGTGTGTGTGTGTGTGGCACTGCAGAGGGAGGTTACCCCCAAAACTACGGGCTTCCTGAGTCAAGACAGACCACAAGCAGTTCTGTTGGTTTAAGGAATACGAGGCCTTCTGGCAGAAGAGTTAAAGGGAGGAAGCAGAATGTGTGGGGAAGATAAGGAGAGGGGCTCCCATTGCTGTACTGCCTGGGTTCAAGTCCCAGCTCCTCCCCTTACCATGTGTATGACCTCTGGCAGGTCATTTAACATTTCCATGCCTCAGTTTCCCCATCTATAAGGTGTGTTCTTAACGGTAAATTACTCGATAAATGTAATGTCTGTCCCACATTAAAGGTCATATTGTTGAGGGAGCTCAGGAATGAATTTTTCAACCTTTGAGAAATTCAGGTCAGATTCATCTTCCCCAGCCCTTGGGAATGATGCTGTGGGAAATCAGGAAGCGAACTGTGTGAAGCAGATTGCCATAGCTGGGATCCTGGGAGAAATATGGAATCCCAAAGGAGACTCAGAGCATGGAACCCTTCCAATCAGTACCTCTTGGCTCTGTCCTGGATAAGACTGCTACTTGAGAGCACACAGAGCAGATGTCCATCAGAAGACCAGAGCAAATAAAGTTACTAGAAAGATCTCACACTAAGAGAATGAAGAAACTTCTTCTTCTCCCCTTCCCAAAAGCTTCCCTTCTGTAAATATCACTTCTCTCTCCTGCACTGTCAATTTCTCTGTCTCTAAAGGACTGTTCCCATAGGTATATAAAGATGCTCTAATATCTCCTATCTGAAACTCTCCTCTGATTTCATATCCGATTCCATTTCTCTGATTCCATTTATAGTAAAAGTTCAAAGAGCTGTCTGTAGATACTTCTTCCCCTCCTGTTCTCTCTTCGGCACAATCTATTGGCATTGCACTCCCTACCGCTCCCCCAAACCTCTCTTCTCATGGTCATCCAGTAAGCTCCACGTCGCTTCAGCTAATGGTCAGCTTACCATCGTCCTTGGCTCTCAGCCGCATTTGGCCCCGTGGGATGACGCTCTTCATGTCGACATATCTTCCTGCCTCAGCTTCCGTGGGTCTCTCCTGGATCTCCGCCTTCCACTCCAAGTTTGTCAGCGTGCAGTGGCAGCAAGCTTGCTACCCGAGAGCTCTCGGGGTGTATGGTGTGCAGAGATTAGCTCATTTATCGGTTCTTCACAGTGCCTCAGGAAATGTGAAGAAATTTCCATCTTCAATAACCATTAGATGCACGAGGCTGATGGGAGTTGGAGAAAAGATGGGGAGCCAAGGGGAAACACTGGAGTCGGTGCAAGAATGACCTCTAGTCTGTCTGACCTCGCAGCCCTGGGAGCTCCCAGCAGTCAGATGCTGACATTCATCTCTGCATTTGTATGGTCCACTGGCCCTTATTATTCCTGTTTTACAAGGGAAGGAAGGAATGGGATTTATTCATGTTTTTTTTTTTTTTTTTTTTTTGGGGCGGGGGGCTCTCACTGTTGTGGCCTCTCCCGTTTCGGAGCACAGGCTCCGGACGCGCAGGCTCAGCGGCCATGGCTCACGGGCCCAGCCGCTCTGCGGCATGCGGGATCCTCCCGGACCGGGGCAGGAACCCGTGTTCCCTGCATCGGCAGGCGGACTCTCAACCACTGCGCCACCAGGGAAGCCCTATTCATCTTCTTGGACATGGACATATAAGGAGAGGCAGTGCCCTGATAGGGTCCTGGGCAGAAGAAACCCCCACCCTTCCCCATCCATGTCCTGCAGTGTCTCCAGAAAATTAAATCCAGTCTACAACACTTTCCAAACCTTTACCAGAATCAGTCCTCTCTTGAGCAAACTGGATTGGACTTGGGACCAGAGCTTAGTCCCAAGAGATTAGCACCAATAAGGAAGATTTATCATCTACTTAAGAAATCCAGAGGTAGCTTCAGGGATGGCTGATCCGTAGCTCAACAATGTCAGAGAGGCCACACATTCTTCCATTCCTGTGTTCTGAAGCCCCAGCCTGTCTGCCTTGTCCGCAAACAGTCTTCCTCATGATTTTAAGATGATGGACACAGTTCTAGGTGTCACATGGAAACACAACAGCATCCAGTAGCAGAAGAGGACTGTCTCTTCATATGCCTTTTTATGCAAGGAAATCTTTCTGAGAATTCCCTCAGCAGACTTATCTCATTGACCAGAATGATTTTATGTGCTTATGTTTGACCAAGAAGAAGACAATCGCCACAGCTGGTTGTTTCAGTCAGATTTTATTCCTGAAGCAGGAAGGATGGTTATTGTCTAGACAACCAGCCAGTCCTCTGCTCCATTGTTTGTTTAGCAACATCCCAAAAAAGTCATCTTCCTATTATGTGTGGAGGCTTTGGAGGCACTGACATGACGGTTTAATGTCAACCACTGCAAATGTAGAACCTAAATGCTAGAGGCCTTCACTCACAGAGAGGAGGTGTTCAGGGAATGTCCTCTGAAGCAAGGCAGAGGTGCCTGGGTCAGGTTCATTCATGGCCAAGAAGCAGCAGTCTTGGAAGCAGGGCTTGCCAAGGAGGCGAGGGAGCTCCCCAAGCTTCAAGCTGGCACTCAGCTCCCAATTACGATTCCAGAATTATTAGCTTTAATTCTGTGAGAAAGGAGCACGTCAAAGCCAGAAACCTATGAATTAAAATGTTGACTAATCAAGCTAATTATAGTTCAGTCATCTGAATTTTCACACAATGAGCCCGAGTTCTCATGAAAGCCTTCTCTTGGGCAGGAGGCTTTGATGATGAAACAGCTATTTATGTCCCAGATCCAGTCCTCCTCATTCTGGCCAGGGAATCCTCACGGGAGTGCCTTTCGCTCACTGAAAACCCTGATGGGTTCTGCCCCAGGTTTTTTGAAAGCTGAAGCAAACTCAACTGAAGCAGAGATTATGAAGATGTTGGGAGAAAGATTCCCCTCCCTGGAGAAAGACCTAACCAGTGTGTCAGGATGTCATGATGGGATTCTTTTCATTTTCAGTTTTATTCCAGATTTAAAAATACTTAGGTAATTTACATAACCTAATTATACTTTAGGGAGAACCTCTTCTCACTTCACATGTCTCAGTTATCAGATGCAGAGTGGTATAATGAATTTTAATCACTGTTTAGATGCTCTTTGCTGCAGAGTTAATAATATAGACTAAGCCTAAATCTTTGATGAGCTACAGGAGACACTTTTTGGTTGTCACAACTGGGGAGGAGGGATGCTGCTGGCATCTAGTGTGTGAGGCCGGGGATGCTGCTAAACATCCTGCAATGCACAGTTTAGACCCCTACCACAAAGAACTATCTGACCCAAAGTGTTAATAGTACTGAGTTTGACACCCTGCGTTAAAGGGTGAAGGTTCACTCAATACTGGTTATCCATTCAACAGCATTTTTACTTCAGTGGTGTTACCTGCCACCAAGATATATTTGGGCAGATTCCTTTACATTTAGCATTTCTGAAATAGTGCTAGGAATAAAGAAACAGATTAAATCCATGACAGTCATGGTCTCAAGTCTTGCAGAAGGTGATCAATTCCTCCTAGTCAATACGCTTGCTCTTCAGGTAGCTGGTACTTGATGAATAACAATGATGTTTATGGATGTGCAGACCCACTAGTTAGGAGTTCTTCCTGTGTGGATAAAGAAGTAGGTATACAGAATATGATCCACTCAGTATGTTCCTGTCCCCAAACTACCTCTTTTTAAAGGAAGTTTTAATTAATTCTATCGTAGGACTTCCGTGGTGGCACAGTTGTTAAGAATCCACCTGCCAACGCAGGGGACACAGGTTCAATCCCTGGTCCGGGAAGATCCCACATGCCGCAGAGCAACTAAGCTCGTGTGCCACAACTACTGAGTCCGCACTCTAGAGCCTGCAAGTAACAACTATTGAGCCCGTGTGCCGTAACTACTGAGCCTGCGTGCTGCAACTACTGAAGCCTGCGTGCCTAGAGCCCGTGCTCTGCAACAAGAGAAGCCACCACAATGAGAAGCCCGTGCACCACAAGGAAGATTAGCTCCCACTCACCACAACTAGAGGAAGCCCATGTGCAGCACCGAAGACCCAAAGCAGCCAAAAAAAGAAAAAAAATTCTATCATAAATATTATAATAGATAAGCAATAACAAGGTTTAAAATCATGTAAGATCTAGGTACAAATTAAGTCCTCTTATTATTAAACTTAACTGTTATCAAACTGTGAAGAGTGCCATAGGCCTTACTCTTACTTACTAACTCTTTCCTGTTTTATCAACTGCATTTGGAGCTTGAAGTAATTTGCTTTCTCAACATACTTTTGACTGTAAAGATGTTCTGTTCCGTCTTGTCCTTTGGAGAAAGACCACTTAAAAATTGTTTTAAAGAGCACATCCACATAATTTAAAAAATCAAATAGCCTTAAAAGACTAATGAAATTCAGCAGTTTCTTTCCTCATTCCTTCCCACCCCTCCTAGTCTTATTTCTTCTGGCATTCACACATTGCTATATTTAAAATAATATGCATGTGCTATTCTCTTTTGGTTCAACAAATTTATTTTATTTTATTTATTTATTTATTTGGCTGTGCAGGTCTTAGTTGCGGCAGGCAGGATCTTTGTTGTCACGTGTGGGATCTCTGGTTGCAGCCTGTGGGATCTAGCTCCCTGACCAGAGATCGAACCCAGGCCGCATGCATTGGGAGTACTGATTCTTAGCCACTGGACCACCAGGGAAGTCCCTGGTTCAACAAATTTAAATGTATTAACTTCCTGTTTTGGTAAATAAGGATTTAGCACTCTTTTCAGCTATCCCCTCTGTTTTACCTCCCTAGTTCTCCCTACGTATTATATATTATAATTTTTGGTTAAATTAGTATTTGGCTTTTACATCATTATACACATGCAAGGAGAGCAGAGCATTGTAGTATACTATTATTTTTCATTATTACTTTTTGTTTTTCCTGATGTTAATAATGGTTTTTTAAATTTTTTTATTTTTTTACTAGTGACTACCTTAAATTTCCTCATCTACAGTGTCTCTGGTCAAAAGTGTCGCACTTATGACCTAATTTCTCTTTGCAGGGGCCAAATTTAGCTGACATTCTGAGTTTTCAGCCCTGGAATGCCCTCAACCTCATGACTTACTAGAAGGAGACTCCAGCCTACAGGCATAGCCCGTTTCCCACCATCGGCTTTATTTTTCCAAAACAGGTCATTCTTCCATCAGAGGTTTTTATCTCCATTTAAGAACCTAGCTCCAGCTCATTTTTTATGGCTTCTTGCTAGGAGCCACGTAAAAGTAAATATTTGAACCCTCATCACTATTGTTTCCTGAGTCACATATGACGTATTATTAAACAGCCAACACTAGTTTCTTCAGAAGGTCCCAGGGGCATTACTGGTTCCAACACAGGTGAACACAAATTCAGTAGCTTCTAAAACTACTGGTGGGCAGCATTTACAGATGGTGGCCTCTAGGACCTGTTTTCTCCTTTTTGGCTTTATGCTGTTGCTAGCTGCCCTTTGGATCCAGGACCTTTAGGATGCCTGGACTGTGAACCATCCAGGTGTCTATTTAGAATGGCGTGGAACAAGTAGCAACCATCTTTTGGCTTCTGCTTTCACTGAACATGGTCTACCATGTTGCCAGGATCCATTGCCCTGTCCCTAGTCCCCTCTAGAAGGGTCTATGCTGTTGCCAGTACATGGAGCCCTGGTACACCTGTCCCCAAGCGTGAGTGGGTTTGCCGTAGAAGGTGAGAACACCAATGTTGAGGACAGCAAACCTCCCTAAAACATACGCATGGTTCAATTCATCCAGAAAAGAGCTCATTCAGCAGAGGGTCTCCATCAGAAGAGCTCCTTTCCTGAAGTATGCTGGCCTCTCAAAATGCTGATAGCAGCTTCCTGACTTAGCTGATCCAGCCCTGGTCTGCCTGCTCTTGGAGGATGCTTGATCGCGTCAGCTTCCTGGTGATAACTGGGCTGAGTCTATCACGCCTGTGTCTATTCCTATACCCTGCCTTATAGACTTTCTTTACATCCCAAACTGAGCAGTTGTGGAGGGAAGTCAAACAGTACATGCTACAAAACCTTGAAGCATCTGGATCTCTCCCCAAACTCAGTGACCACTACTTTTTTTTTTTTTTTTACATCTTTATTGGAGTATAATTGCTTTACAATGGTGTGTTAGTTTCTGCTTTATAACAAAGTGAATCAGTTATACATATACATATGTTCCCATATCTCTTCCCTCTGGCGTCTCCCTCCCTCCCACCCTCCCTACCCCACCCCTCCAGGCGGTCACAAAGCACCGAGCTGATCTCCCTGTGCTATGCGGCTGCTTCCCACTAGCTATCTACCTTACGTTTGGTAGTGTATATATGAGTGACCACTACTTTTAACAGAAAGATGCTCTCACAGATGCTGAAACAGTGGCACTGTATCTTTTCCTCAAATGCAGCCTTGGCTTTCTACTTCTGTATTTATTTTTAACCAGAACTACATTTAGAAATATATGACCAACTATACTAGTAATAATAGGTGGGAGAAGAGAAGGCATGTGTATGGATTCATCTTCCTAGGTATGTGTGGGTCCAGTTAATATTCAAAACGGTCTCGAGTTCTCCAAGCACACACTGACTGTCTGATGGGGGAAGTGGTGAGGAGGGGGACAGGTGGCAGTGGGAAAGCTGACCTAAGATTAAAAATTAATGTATTCAGTTTTTAAATTAGATCATTGTTGGCAGATGGCTACGAATTTTAATATAATTTCGTATTTAACTTTTTTGGAGGAGATTTAGACTCTATTATTCACCAACTAGGCAATTTATGAACTCACATTTCAGCTTTAATTCTACCTTATCACAAGGAGAATTATAGGGCTTGAAAAACTCCACCAATCATCCTCTATTGGAAAGAACCGCACCCAAAGCCAGCCAGGGCAACAGGGATCCCTAACACGTTTTTCTGAGACTTCTAATTTAAGGTATTCGACAGCAAGTTTCCTTTGGGAGCAAAGAGTGGTGTGCCACTTTTCCATTCTGTTCACCTCTGCTGTGTTTCCTCTTCCCATGCTCCATGCAGCTGGATAGACTGAGGAGCCCCACCCCCACCCCAGGCTTCTTCCATCAGCTTCGACCTCAGTCTTGGTATCTTCAGGAGCCAGAATTCCTGTTCCATGGGCTGTGAAGTTAGGCATGCTGGATCAGGCCACAGCCCTGGGCCAAAAGGGAAGGAAAGTAAACCCCACTTAGGGTATGGGATTTGGGCCGGAAGGAACTAACCTGATTCCAGAGGCTGGCCCCACAAGAGTGCTTGGTCTATTCAAGACACAGTGGCCAAAGGGAAAAGAAAGCTTGGGCAAATAGTGGTACTGTAGTGTCCTATTTGGATGGTATGTAGCATGGAGAGATTCCAGGCAGCAGCAATCATGCAGGAATTAGATCCAGCAGAGATGTAGTTCTGGAAGAGCTGAATGTTCACGGAGGGTATCAGCAAATGGATGTGGCCACCAAGAGGAGTGTGTTTTCCTTCAGGGAAAGAAATTGGCCAGAAGGCAGGGTATCGGGGCCTTGAATAAGCAGTCTAGGGATCAAAATAAGGCTCAAGGGCTTCCCTGGTGGCGCAGTGGTTGAGAGTCCACCTGCCGATGCAGGGGACACGGGTTCGTGCCCCGGTCCGGGAAGATCCCACATGCCGCGGAGCGGCTGGGCCCCTGAGCCATGGCCACTGAGCCTGCACGTCCGGAGCCTGTGCTCCGCAACGGGAGAGGCCACAACAGTGAGAGGCCTGCGTACCACACACACACACACAAATAATAAGGCTCAAGTTCTAGATGGAAGGTGGGGTCTCTTCTAGTGGTCGTTGCTGATGCAGCCCTCCTCACCCCACCCACTGTCTCTGGACCAAAGATAATTGTATCTTTGGAGTCAGTGACCACCTTGATGACTTCCTATTTTAGATCTCCAGTCTAGACACCTTACCTGGACTCCAGACCTTCATATTCAGCTGCCCATTGGACCCCTCCACTTACATGTTCATAAAAACCTCACCAGCTTTCCCCAACCTACTCCCCTTCCTATGTTCTTTATCTCAAGGAAGGGGCTCGTTCTTGACTCTTCCTTCTTCTCATCCACCATATTTAGTCCTTCATCAGTCCAGTTGCACCTGCCTTCTAAATAGCTCCTAATTTTCTTCGCTCCTTGCCATTTCACTGTTAATGTCTTAGTTCCGGTCACCATCACCTCTCACGAGGACCTGCACTATAATCTCTTAACTGTTCTCCCTGCCTCCAGTCATGCATGTCCTTTGCCAATCCTTCCCCCTAAATACAGCTTTGATTTTTATCCCTCTTTCGCTTAAAATCCTTCATTGGTACCCATTGTCCTGAGAATAAAGTGCAAAATTTACTAGCATGACTTAAAGGCTCATGACCTGCCCTGCCTGCCTGTCCATCTTCATCTCTTCCCCTTTCCTCCACATCATCCTCCCACCGTATTGAATTTCTTGCAGGTCCCTGAGGAAGCCTTGATTTCTCTGGCGTCCTCAGCTGTGTATGAGGGGTTCTCACTCTCTTCATCTGAGTAAATCTGACTCATCTTTTAGGGTTCAGTTCGAGGTATTATCTTCTTGAGGACTCCTTCTCTGGGTAGGTGCACCTCCCACAGCCCAAATCTCCTCCTTCCCTCATGCTTGTCGCCACTGTGTGTCTTCCAGACTAGACTGTGAGCACTTCCAGGCAGAAACCAGGTCTCTATCGATGAGGAGCAGCACAGCGGTGTGAGACCACGGGCTATGGAGTCAGCCAGACTTGTATTTGAAAGCCAAACCTGGAGTAAGACACCCTGGGCAAGATTTTTATCATCTCAGGATCTCTGTCTCATTAGCTGCAAAAACAGTACTTCCTCATAAGCTGTCGTAAGGATTCAATGTGGTAATAATACAAAGCGGCTGGCACTGAGTCTGACACATCATGGATGCTCAGTAAATGTTGGATGAAGAAAGTGCAGGAAGAGAAGCTTCAAACAGAGCTTGTGGTGAGCTGTGAGAGAGCCTTTGTGGGTCACCGTGGCCTCGGCCATCCTGGCGGAGATGAGGCAGAGCTGAGTGGAGTTAAGGCCAGACTCTGTCTCTAGAGGAGGTGCTCACTGAGCAGGAGGAAGGTGACATCCAGGGCTGGTGGAGAGCAAGACAAGGAAGACTAGAAGTGAACGTGGGAGGTCTCGGTGAGATTGCCTGCAGCATTTGGCTATGACAGGGCCATCACTCCAGGCCCAGCTCCAAGGGGCAGGCTTGACAAGTGCCTGAAGCTGGCGTTGGACAGTAGGAAGCACATCATCCTCTCTGACTCGGGAGCTTTAAAAACACACTTGCCTGGTCCCCACCTCCAGAGATTTGGTTTCAAGTGCTCTAAAGTAGACCCAGGGCTGAGCATTTTAAAAAACTCTTCAGAGAATTCTAAGGCAGGGAAGGCTGAGAATCACACTTTAGAATAGAGGAGGTGCCATACCTCATAGGCCAGATAAGGACCAAGTTTGCTCCTATACCCCCAGACTGTTCCGCTGAGCATCACTGAGGGGATGGGAGGTGGTAGGTGGCTGCTACTCCCTTGCCTGCCCTGGTGAGGACTGGCTCAGTACCAGAGCGGGCCCATCCACAGACCAAGTGGCAGGGAGCAGGGAGAGACAAGGGTAGAAAAAAATGAGGCTGATGGACATAGTCTTTCTGATCTCAAAATCCCAGCCTGCCTCTCCAGCCCCTCCCCAGAGGAGACCAGCTGCTCTTTGGGAGAGGGAGGTCCTTTGCGAAGTGACGGGTTGGAGGAACACCTTCTCTTTCTTCATAGCCACTCTGATGGCACAGGGGAAACCAGCGGGGAGCTGCTGTTCACTTCTCCGGGAGAAAAACTCAGTGATGGAAGCTTAGAACTCATGGTCATTCTAAGAATGTAAGGAATTTTTTTTTAGATAAGTAGTAAGTCCCCAGCCAGCTGCAGAACCCTCTTAGCTTGAAGAGGTCATAAACAAGGATGAGAAAAAAGGAAGGGAGGAACTCATGAAAAATTAGATCTGCTGACATTTGTTTGGAAACTGCCTAGTTCTCCACTCTGTGGATTTCCACAGTCTGTATGTGTACAAGGTAATCAGGATGATACACCTATTACAGCTCACAAGGAATAGACCCACCAAGAAGTGGTATCATGAAGTGACTTCTAGTAAAATCTGCCCTTTATTTTATCACCCTGGTCCTCACTAGACCCTGCAAATATTTCATCATGCAAACCCGATCAAAAGTTATTGATCATGAAGAAAGAATATATATATATATTCATATATATATGTGTGTGTATAACTGAATCATTTTGCTGTACATCTGAAACTAACATAACATTGTAAATCAACAATATTTCAATAAAACTTTTTTTTCAAGTTATTGATCGTGAGTCTATGCAATGTAAGCAGTCTCTTTCTCAGCTTCTTCCTGGAAGGGAATGAAAAAAAAAGATGGCCATGGATCAGTTAGAAGTAAAAGTGGCATCTCCTCTCCTTGACATTGAGTACAGAGGCATAGCCCAGGGAAGGAGAGCAGATGGAATAAAAAGTAACAAAGGGCAAGAAGTTTACCTGTTCCTGACCTTGATGTGCTCCCATCTCCCTAGTCCCACCCCACCCTCATCACATTTCACCTATATACACCTGTATGTACACCTATACCTCTTATCACCTTATTGTAATTTCAGTGCTGTACAAAACTAAAGCTTTTGTGTCAACAAAGTATTCCCTCCTTCCCCCACAAAAGAGCATGAAATTTTGTAAAGCGGTTCATTACCTTCCTGGAACTTACCTCATTGTAGAAAGACCTGAAATTGAAGGGGCTTCCGTTCCCTACGGGCAGAGACTCGACATGAGACTCGACATAGACTATTTTAGTTCAAGCATCTCTTCCTTTTTGGAAATTAACAGCTCAAGTCTCTATTGATTTAACATGCTGTCCCTGTGATGCAGTGGGGATTTCACACAACTAATGGGGACAGGCCGTTCTGTGATTACTTAACCCTTCCAGTCTTTTGTTTTTCATATTTTCTTTAAAATGAAAACAACTCAAATATATGAATCTCTTAGAGTGAACAAGACGGAAATACCTGCACTTCCTCTTGTATTTTAAATATATATATTAAAATATACTGTCAAGGGAATTTCAGTCTGTGTCTCTGCAATGTCCTTCTGATTTTTTTTATAAAAGAGCAGGCTCCATGACACGTTAGGACAAGAAGTAAGTGACTGGGCAGAGGAGGGAGGGAGGAATGAATATAAGCCTTCATTTTCTTTCTTGGGTCTCTGTCTCTCTGCCTTAGAGTAAGTCTGGGGCTGTGTTTGCTTGCGATGATATCAGCTTGCTGTGGGTAGAAATTATGATGGACTAAATTAGGAACCATGACCTCAGTGTAGGAAGAAGGAGGAGGAGAAAGGAAGGGAGGCCAGAGCTGCTGTTTAAAGTACAGTTAATGGAATAATTGCCAGGATCCATCAGGTACTTTATACAAAATTGAATTGTCAGGGAAGATTCTCCACGCCCCCCCGCAACTCTTTTTTTATTGAGGAAGAGGCAAAGTCCTTTTACCTCATGATTTTAAGGGCAAGGAAATTCTTCCAAATTATGGGGGTGGGGGAGAGATAAAAAAGAAGTCTTATTACCCAGGCCACTTAGCAAATGTTCAATGAGCACCTGCTATGTGCAGAAGCCTGAGCGGGGTGGAGGAGAAACCCCACCCCCATCATGGAATGTGGAGTTGCCTGGGTGGAGAGCTCACTGTGACATCCTGGCTTGGGCCCTGCTTAGACAATGTCTCAGTCTCACACACTATCATAAGTTGGTAAAATTTGTCTCTGGAATCCTCCTCTCCACCCCTACCTTGTCTGGGGTCATTGCTGTGTGGTTGACAGGTATTGCTTTTGTGGCCAGCCAGAACTCTTCCCTTTTGTTTGTTTTAGTTCTTTCCTGAGTGGGGTAGTTGAAAGAGCCCTCCCTGGGTGAATTTTGGTGAGTCATTTCACTTCTTGGAGTCTCAACTTTTTCTGTAAATAAGAATAGTAATAACACTAACATTGTGAGGGTTAAATTAAATAATGAATGTGAATTAACCACAGCTAATTTTTATAGAGATTGTAGCTTATGACAGGTACTGTGCTGCTAAATGTTCTGTGTACAACATCCCATTTCATCCTTCCAACAGCCAGTCATGCAGGCGTTCTCATCCCCCTTTTACAGGTGAGGAAACTGAGGCTTAGAGAGATTAAGTAGCCTGCCCAAGTCACAGTGCTAGTTCCTTTAGGTGTTAGGATTTGAATTCAGTTCTGTCTTACTCCAAAGTCTATGCTGGTAACAAGAGTGCCCCACTGCCTCTATAAATATCCCTGTAAAATGCTTTGTCAACAGAAGATAATTTTATTAGATACAGCTAATACACGGAACCATTTATTATTTGACAGATTTGAAGGTACCAAAGACCACATCATTTGCATACAAAAAGTGCAGAACAATTAATTTACGTAGAATTTCAGGCTTTTACAGGTGAAAGGGAACTTTGAGATGATCTAGGCTGTGTTGTTCAAACTCAGCTTCTCAGAGGCCCCGTACTGAGCTATGCTTTTATCTATTTTAAAATTTATTATGATTTCTAAGTAGGATTTTGTCTAAGATTTACTCTCTTCTAATTCACTCACTGTCATTTTACAGTGGCCTTTTGGCGGGGCATTAAGAGATAAAGAGACTCAAGATTTCCTGACTTCTGTGCAGGTCTCTCTTTACTCCTCAGGGCTAACTCTTGACACGATGTGTCCAATATGGTAAAGAATTGAGAATATGAAAAATTATAATCAAGAGAGGCTTTTTCAAGGGAATTTAAGAACGCACATACATCTGTCTGATCTAAGCAAAGGCAGTGAAGGACTCAACAAGTAGAAAGTAATTAGGCATGCTAACAAAAATGAGAAGAAAAGATTTCAAGGGGGGCTTGGAAATGATGTCAGTGATAACTATTATGTTGTTGTCTCCTGTGGGAATAAGCAGATAAATACCATCCAGTGAGGCCCTTAACTTCATTCGTTCCTTCAACCATCATTTATGAAACATCTACTGTTTGTCAGGCACTGTGCTAGGCAGAAGGACCACAAAGATGAACGTCCCTGCACTCAAGGGGCTGACTAACTGGAGTGGGAGGCGAGGAGGCATAGGCATTAGTGTGGTGAGAGCAATGATAGAGATTTACAAAGAGTCCTGGGGATACTTTGAGAAGAGACATCTCATCCTGGTATTAGTGGGGAGAGGCTGGTGGTCAGGAAACCCTGCCCAGAAGATGTAACACCTGAGAAGAATTTAAATTAGAGGAAACTGACATGGGAGGACATTGTTCTGGCCTTAAATAGAAGAGAATTTAGGTTTTTTCTACCTTTTTCTGGTGAGGCAGAGATGGGCCATCCAGCAAGCCTCCTTGACCATAAACCACAGACTGATCAAAACCCTAACCACATTGCCTCAGGGATATTGCTAACTAGAAGTTCTGCTTTCAATTACTATAAATAGTTTATTTTTACAAAGATGAAAACAGCTATTCTTCAGAATCAGAGCTGGGTGGCACTTTCCTCCGTGATCACCTGGGTCTCATCTCCTTTGGATGATTTCTAAATAAGCGTATGCTGTGGGAGCCACGCTACATATCTATTGGGTACTTGAGAAAATACAAAAATGAAGTGTACTAGTTAGGGAAGGCTAAATTGTTGAAACAAATGGACCCTAAAATACAGTGGTTGAAATCCAGCAAAAGTTTATCACTAATAAATTGGAGAGTATTCCAAGTCAGCAGCAGCTCTCTTCCACATGGAGAATTGTAGCCCCAAGCTCCTCCATCTGAGATTCTGCTTCCCTGGGGCCTTGATGTCTATGTTCAGTTAGAGGATGGGGAAATAAGGAGTAAACACTTTCTGAGAGAGCTACACCCATGACAGCACATATCATTTTTTCTTGTATTTTATTGGCAAAAATTAGTCACATGGCCACATGCGGTTGCAGGATCTGCTGGGAAATGTGTTTCCAGACTGAGCAGCTGATTTCAAGCACAGCCGTTGATAAGGAAGAAGATTTTGATGGGCAGCTACTGCTTTCATTGTATAAACTGAGAGAAAGAAAATGGATAATCACAGAAAATCTAAGCTAGAAAGTTATTAATAAAAATGGCTCTCACAGGGACTTCCCTGGTGGTCCAGAGGTTAAGACTTCATGCTCCCAATGCAGGGGGCCCGGGTTCAATCCCTGGCCAGGGCACAAGATCCCACATGCCACAACTAAAAGATCCCGCATGCTGCAATTAGAAGATCCTGCACACGGCAGCGAAGATACCACACGCAGCAACGAAGATCCCGCATGCCGCAACTAAGACCCAGCGCAGCCAAATAAATAAATAAATTTTTTTAATAAAAGGGTGGGGAGCCACTGGAGAGCCCTGAATGAAGATGAGGATCACTGCCCTGGGAAGACCTTTAAAAAAAAAAAAAAAAAAAAGAATGGCTCTCACAAATCAACAAGTGGTACACCTTAAAGTTACTCAAGGTGATATGTCAATTATACCTCAATAGAGCTGGGAAAGAAGAAAAGCATGCTTCTTAGCTCCAGAGCATTTTATAGTCATTCGCTTGGTAATATCAAAGGATTTATCAACCCTTTCAAGTGGATCCCCAACAAGGGTCCTCCTGCCCAGTGTCATTGGAGCCAATCGAACAGGACCAAGTTTGGTTCAAAGCAAAATTCTATCCTTTAATCAAAGAATGGAGAGGTGCAGCCTTGCGCGCTAGAGCACAGGCTCTCAGGACAGGCCGTGGGCGTGGGCGGGGCTGCTTCATAGGGAACTTGGCAGTAGGGGAACGGAAGGGAGTGGAGTTCCCGCAGGGAGTGGGCGGAGGGTTTGGCGGAGCCGGGCGCGGTGCCGGGTGCAGCATCTCTGCACACGGCCTGCCACCGCCATCTTGAATTGGGTGTAGTTTGCAGCTTCTGCACACGGTCTCGAAGCTGAAGTGTGGGGTGCAGCCACGTTGCACCAGGATCTCTGGTCTGAGGTGCCGGGGGCAGGGCCTCTTGACACAACGCCCCGTGAGCAAGTGAAACCAGACTAAGCACAAAGGAAAGGAAAAAAAAAAGGTTAGACTTTATTACCCAGATTCTGTTTTTATTTCCTGAGTATTGTTAATGGACCTTGCCGGTGACACCTGCCTGCTTTCTTACAAGAGTCAGAAAAAAAGCCTCTTCATAAATGGAAAACACAGGGCCGCAGCCACAACCAGGTGATGGCTTGTTGGTTAAAACGCTGATTAGTTTAAAAATAATTAAGGAATAACAACTAGGT